TAAGGACCGTTAAAAAGTTCTGCTAAGTGACACATGTATTTTATATAATTTTGATTATTTTTAAAATAAAAAAGGGTAAAGTATATAAATAGTCCCAAAACTTTTAGGGTGCTCCCATTATAGTCACCGTACTTTTGAAACTTACAATACAATCATCAAATTTTTAGTTCGTTATAAGTAAGGTTCCTGTCGTTACCTCCTGTTAGTTTTTTACTGACGTGGCACTTAACTGTCGTTAACCCTCCCTCCTCCTCCTCCTCCTCCTCCTCCTCATCCTCCTTCTCACACTCTCTTAATGAAATCGCATATCCAAAGCCTTGTAACACAAGCAAATAAATCATTTAATGCTACTCTACACAAGCAAATGAAAGGCTCATAAAATTTAATGCTAGAATTTATATAATGCAACAACTTGTACCAACCACACATACGTAAAATCAATGTAACACCCTAACCCGTACCCGACCCGGATACGAGTATGAGATGTCACATTGACTTTTTAAAACGATGTTCTTCCAAAATAACCAAATATTTGAACTCATTTTAAGAAAAATACGATGATACATTATTGAATTATGCTTCATTATAAAAATTTAAGCAAAAATGTATTCATGAACAGTAAAATACGGTAATGAACAGTACCGATGCACAAAAATTCCGAAGCAAAATTGCTGATACAGTGACTTTCGTAAAACGTCATAAAACTCGTAAAAATTTAACCGTTCATTAATATATATATTTACATTTACATAAATACATTTAAAACATAACAAAACTTGATCAGAGTATAAATACTTAATTTACCAACTTTGTTTACATGCCAACTTATTTTCACATAATAAAACATACTATTTAATCTACTTCTGATCTGACCTTCAAGTGGAGTTATGTTCTGCTAAGCTTAGCTTTGATCTTCCTGCTTCTCAGTACCTACGTGTAAATCGCTTACACGCTAAGTCATAGACTTAGTGAGACATATAAATATAATAATAATGCATTATGTATGAATATGAACATGCAATCTATCCATTGAATCATATCATATGCAATTCAATATAAACAATAATAATATGATAACATATAACTATAATAATGCACTTACCTTTGATAACCTTTTATAGGCCCATGTACATTTTTGAGAACTCAAGGTATTCGAGTACATTGAGGTTGTGCACTATTGTTTTCACCACAGCTCGTATGGGGTCCCACTAAGGGCTATGAAATTATCCCGAAGGACCTATGTACTGTATTTGTCCCGAATGACCACTCCTTAAGAATCATATACATATTTCAATGGATCAAATATGTCTCAAAAGACCCTGTAAATGTTCCAAAGGATATATATATACGCCCCGAAGGACCACGTAGAACCCTCGACTCTTGGCATGCCAACTATACCTATAGCTCTCATATCGTATACCATGGGCATTATTCTTATGTTTCATGTGTTCATGTATTCATGTCATTTCTCTTGTGATCACATAGCTCATATCACTTATCATATTACATGTGCATTTGAGTCTTTTCACATATATCATTTATCAAATCATATGAACATATATACTTTATGCATGTATCATAATAATTATCATGTATGCATGTTCATAATTATTGTACTATGAAAATCAACATAGGAATTAGACTTATCACAAGTCTTATTCCATTATACCATACTTATAGTATGCACTCACCTATATCCCTTTGTCTTTTCCTCGATCGATCTTACTTGTCACTTGTTCCGGAACTTGTTTAGGCTCAATATCTACATAAATATAATTTTCAAGACAATTATAAGAAGCTTAAACCTTATAATTCGATACTAATAACTTGAGCTAATTTAATGAACCCAATTTCAGCTTTTCCTTTAGGAGTGTATCGATGCACTATAGGTGCATCGGTACACAAAATAGCTTCGAAATCTCCATGCATCGATGCACATTCAAAAATTGTCTTAGTGCATCGGTACACACTCATAGTGCATCGATGCACTTGCCCATAATAGACTATTTCCACCCGAAATTCATCAATATTTCACCCAAATTTTCTTGTATAAAATCCTTATTATGCTACTAAATTCATCTATAACAACTTTAACCAATTCCTATCATTCTAACACCTTATAATCTTCCATATTTCATCCAAATTCTTAAGGCTAAGAATCATATCAAATTTTCTATGTTATCCAAACTTTGATTTAACACTTATAACTTCTTATTCACTCCTATGACAAGTCAAATTTAGTTTCAAATTCAACTTATCAACTATTTTCCAATAATTCACTTAAAAACCCATTTTCTTTAATCTTTCATAACTTCTTCATCTTTTGATTTTAAGGTAACTTAAGCTTAGTTATCATCTAATGATCAAAACACAATCTTAAAATTAACAAATAATTAACTAAACCGAAAACTTACCTTTAATGGAGACCTACGGAGAGAAGAAGAAGGAGAAGAAGATAAGCTTCCAAATGTCCATTCAACCCCCATGCTTATCTCTTAAATAAGAGATAAATATCTTTTTCATGAAAAGACCACCTTACCCTTCGTACTTTCCTTCCTCACAATTTAATCCAATACCAGAATTTATCACTTTAAAATTTTGAACTTTTCAATAAATTCTACTTTAATCACCAACTTTTGAACTTTTTACAATTTGGTCACTAACCCATAGTTTGGGATGTTACAACCAACTTCTTAACAAACCTAACTTGCTTTGGACATGAAGCTTGAAAAACCAACTTCTAAACAAACATGACTTGCTTTAGACATGAAGCTTGAAAGAACCAAAACCTCATCAAATGTAATAAGTCTATCAATCTTCGCACCAAGTATTCCCTCAAATCTCTGCCATAATAATCTAACAATTAACTTGCTTACTCCAAAAATAATTATAATAAAAACTTACACAAGAAACTATAAAATCGGAATGAAAACTTCAAAGTTATTTTGTAAATCACCTTCAGTTGAATAACAAGAATATTTGGCGTTTTATGTATAGACAGTTGCTTCCTTGTTGTCACCAATTTCTTACAATCAAACAACCATAAGTTTTTCATTCAAAACAGATTAAAAGCAAGTGTTTCTTGCATAGTTAATCAATTTTTTCCCAAGAAAGTAGAGAGATAAGCTGAATTTTCTTGGGGAAATTGAGAGAGAAAAAGAATCCATGAAATTGCTAAGTTGCTTGAGGTGGGAACACTTCCTTATAAGCGTAAACATGGTGATAATTTTCATTATATTTACAGGATTGTTTTTATCTATTTTCTCTTTTGGATTGAAAAGTTTTGATTTTTACTATAAATATGTGTTTTTGATTTGTAAATGATTAGTTAGAGTTTTGTAGAAAAAGAATAAGAAAAATAAGAAGAAACTGCAAGAAGAAGAAAAGAAGCTGCCACGAAGAAGAAAAAGCTGCAAAAAGAAGAAGAAAAGAAGCTGCCAAGTCAGAGAGTTAACGTAGGTAACTGCCATGTCAGCAAAAACTAACGGAGGTAACGATAGGGACTTTATTGAAAACGAACAAAAAGTTCGATGATTGTATTGTAAGTTTCAAAAGTTGGGTGACCAAAATGCAAGCGCCCTAAAAGTTTGAAGACTATTTATATACTTTACCCATAAAAATCAAAAGAAAAACTAATATTTTTTCAAATCATAAAAAAAACCCTCTAACTTTTGAAAAGTTTGATTTCAATCCTTATATCCATGTTGGTCGACGCCTTTTGTCGTTGTTGTTGCCTTTGATTGAACATATCCTGGACCGCATCTCTACATGATGAACCCATTAATGACTGGACGTTACCCCCATACCCTAAATTTCCAAATTTAAATCCCTAAAATCTTTATAAAAAAATTCAAAATCCCTTTAACATAGGTCGTTTGGGCAGTAACAGTCGGTGGATCGTTTGTTCATTAATAATCTGGTGCCATGCGAAGAGGTGGGAGAGAAGGGCATGGAGGAGAAGGGGCCCTAGGAGTGTGGGGAGTAGGAAGTAGGACCCCAGAGAAAATTAATTATTTTTTAAAATTTATTTTTAAAAATAAAAATAAAATTTTATGATTTTATAAACACGACACAGGTCATTTAATAGAGTTTTTTAAACGGTCATTACGGTCAAAACACTTAAAATGATAACATTTATAAAATTAAACACCGACAAATAAATAATTTAAACACTTAACTGAAAAAAATATATAATATAGAGGCTTATTTTATATTATGCCTTGATTTTATCATTTTTTAAGATAAATTTTTATTACCATTACTTCTAATTTCTGCTTGCTTAGACAAGTTGCTAATTTTTAATTTGCTTTCCAATAAACTTTTTTTAACTTTGTTTCCATACTTTAATAAACCCTTTAACATAAATACGCACCAATGTTTTAGTACTTCAATTAAACTTGTTGCTGTTGTCAATAGCTTTCCTTTTCCTTGGTTGACATCATCAACAGCTTAGGGTTGAGAATCCTTACTAATAAATTGAATTTAAGAAACTCCAAGGAAATAAGCCTGCCTCAAGGATTCGCACGTTTTCTTGTTTTCCAGTGTCGAAGCAAAATTGTAACTTTTGTTTTCTCCAATATCATCCGAAGTGCCTCAGCAGATGACCGACTCAAAAATCAAAATCCCTTTTACGATCACAGCTTAGGAGTTTTTTGAAATCCCAAACTTATTTTTCATGCAGTAAATTTTACGATTCGAGCTTTAAACCTGCTAAATATCATCACGTAGGCTTTGCTTGGTATTGAGAAGATGAGGAATGATGGAAAATTTGTTAATCAAATGGTAAATATTCAAAGTAAGAAACTGCTTATGAATCTCAACAGTTTAATAAACAAATTTTCCACCCATATTTTCATTCATACCAAGTAAAGCCTTAAAAAACCCATGATCTAACAGTGCTAAGCTCTGAGTCTTTGCCCAATGTCAATCGAGCTGGAGTTCATATTCAAACAGAATAAAGAAAATGAAATGAATATAGGCATCAATGGAAAATGATGATATTCTAAATCTGAGATTTTAATCTCATCTTTTATCCTTTGAATTTCGGCAAGTAGGGTTTTTGAAAAGTTCAAAGAAAATTCAATATAAAAAATATAATTTACATATGCAAAGCGACACTCAACATATTAAAATAGTATAATCGTACCAACCTCTTGATCTCCTTATACCATAAGTTCATCTTCAAGAAAGTTGTACTCAAAGATGAATTCAGTCTTGATTCTTTGACACCTGAAAGATATCACACAGTAAAAGTCCATAATAAAAGGAATGACATGTACCCAACACAAGTCTAAATAACAGATGAAATCAATGTACACTAGAAGATGATATGCTTTAAATAACTTAAAAGCTACTGTAATTCCAAGCCAACTTACCATCCATGTTGGTGGTCATCATTTGCTATGTGGAAATCAAAGTATACATAGGTTCCCTGTTCAAATTCATCCATAGCGATTTTTGGCTCCTCATGCCGCTGAAACCATGTGTTGTATTTTCTATGGTATCTCCATGATTGCTTCTTCAGCTCCTTTGCTGCTAGATATTGTTGGTAAGTGTTCTGCACAAAATTTGCCACATTGGAGAACTCACAAACACATTGTATTATGCATGCGAACACGGCGTGTGTGTGTGTGTGTGTGTGAGAGAGAGAGAGAGAGACTTATTTACCTGTTGATGATAAAATGCAAAGAACAGTGTATCAGTGCCAGTGTCGTATCCATCAATGCTCAAGCATTCCCAGAAGGCAGGATTGTTCACGATGGGTGCCTGAACTTGAGGGTAGCTAGCAGGGGTTGCCGTAGGGTGCTTCTGCAAAATACAAGCAAATCGTAACTGTATGAATCTACACAATAGTTATCATCTTTTTGAAAACAAAATATATCATTGGAAATGCCATACTGGAATGTAGTTCCCCGCTCGTTCTGAGTCTTTAGGTTGGGGAAGTTTGTAATATGCAGTCTCGAGCATCTGCAAATTGTATAATTGATCATGCATTCCCCCAGAATTTGTTGAACCACCGAGGTTGTCACTAATGGCACCAAGATCAGAAACACTTCTCCGACCAATAACTCCGAGACCACTAGAAGATTGGTTGTATTGTAAGGGTTGTCCAGGAGAAAGATCAATATCCCGAATGTTTCGAGCAGGTTCTGTCAAAGGGCCTGATACAGCAGCCTGCACAAAGAACAAAACCACTTTCGTTATCTTGATCTCTCAGATTTTTTATTCCATCTAGCAAACAATGTATTTTTTAAACCAAGCACTATTCTGCCCACGTCTTTTGTCTATCTAGTCAAGCCCATGAACAAGCACTTTTAGAAACTAAGCACGTATAGTGGAAAACTTAAGACGGAATACCAATTTGAAGTGTAAAAGTTAATGATGATTATAGTATAAGATTGAAAATGTTTACAAATACAGCCCCACGCCCGACTATAATATGCATAATACATACACAAGATTAGGAAGTATTCCACATACAGGAGAATCAATTGCATATGGAGCTTTCGAATCATCTTCATTCATGAGATTTTTGGCAAGCCCAGAAGTTGGAATAGCTTCAGAACTTGAACCATCAGATAAATTCTGCAATTGTTGTTCCTCAACTTTTGCTATGCCAACATCTGAACATATATTAAGCTCTTAATCAAGAAAAAATATTACATATACATAAAAATATATATGAGAGATTAATGCACGATTATATTTTCTCCAATGATAACTTAAGTAGCAGCTCACAGTCACTGTCCATAAACCACTATGAATGATAACAGGTTTTCTGATATCACCTTTACTATTCCAATATGTATGAATAAAGAACACCAATTGCTCTAGAAAACATATCCTTGTAGAAAAAATACAAGTTATAATCCTTCAAAAAGCTTTTTTTAGAAATTAGTATCAGAAATGAAATAGATTTACTGTGAAACCAGACATGACATGGCAGAGACCAAAATAGTTCCTCCGTGCATGCACTCATAACATTAAATGATATGATATCCTTCAGAAATCCCTCAAAAAGACCTCATATATCAAAAAGATGTAAGGTCCAAAAGAAATTCAAACAAATTGAATCTTACCAGCATCCTTTGAAATATTCGTCACCAATGCCTGCTGACTGGACTGCTGGTGGATGGAGGTTGGTTGCTGCTGTAAGCCGGGAGAAATAACACTATTAAGACCAGGTGTTTGGCCACCGAGTCCCACACCGGATTGGATAGAGAATGATGAGCTTTGAGAATTGAGCTGACAATATAAGATCATAAAAGATTATTTACCATTTCTTTCATGAAAGAAAGCTAACCTCAGTTTCTACCAATGGGCAGTACATACATACAACATACACATGAAATATGAAATGAAAACAAAAATCCAGATTTGAGTTGCACTCTGTTTGTAAGAAGTTTAACAGCATGGAGTAGGCAAAAGAACAGAAGGAATCCATGTATGAATGAGCACCTGCTGCATGAGAGGGCTTTGTTGTTGTGCAGAAAATTGATTATGATTTCCTCCAGCAAGAGGAGGCATGTTGCCAAGCAGGTTGCTATGACCTTGTTGCTGCACTTGCTGGAACCGTTGCAAAAACTTTTCCCTTATATCAGGAGCTATCTCAGTTCTTCCACGAAACTGCCCCTGAAATGCATACATTAGCTACAATATCAAACCTAACACATATGGCACGAATAAAGATCGATAACAAACTAGCATACCAACTCATTTTGATTCTGAAAAGAACTTCCAGGCCTCTGCTGTATGCCCGAAACCATTGAAGGGGAAAAAGCTCTGCTAGATAATCCAGCAAACTCAATAGGATTACCAGAATCAGTAGATGAACTTCCATCCTTAGCCTTGGCTGCTTGAGGCAAGAGCATTCTGTTACTAATAGGTGATGCCAGAGATTGCCCCATGCTACTATTTCCAAGTCTCTCATAAACCCCCAAAATATTTCTTTTGGACATGTCAGACGCTGAAGGGACAACACCAAGGCCTACATTGCCAGAAGCCACACTTCCAGACACAAGGGGGGTACTAGATGAAAGCTGACCGGATAGACCTCCTCTACTAATGCCTCGTACTCCAGTATCGGCAAGGGATGGAGACGGCCTACGTCCTGGGAAGTTTGTGATATCTTCTTCCTTTGTAGAACTAGACAAATTTACAGGAGAAAAAGGATTGGTAGAGGCAGTGCTTTCCAAGACACTTTGAGCAGAAATTGAATCTGGAAGAACTGAAGCACCAGACAGACTCTGAGGTGGAAGATTCAGTGCAGGGGTTGCATGGCTACCAGTTGGTGTTGCTGCAGCAGAAGAATTAACTGCACTAAATTTTGAAGGTGGAATCTTTGCCATATCAGAATTACTATCCTGGGAAGCAGTATCTTCAACATGCTCCAGGGAAGAACTACCCTGTTATCATATCAAAACAAGACCCAATCTTATACATCAAAACCATTCATCAAGCCATCAACTAATGATGAAACAACTTCTTTTGGAAAACTTGACCCATTTTTAAGCATCTGACTGCACCATTAAATATATATATATAAAAACAGATAGAGTGAACACCTACAGGCATTTGAGATGTTGGTGTTGCCAAAGAAATCTTCAAGATTGGAGCACCCTGATAACATGATTTTTTTACAGGTTATTTTTAACGAAAGAGGCTATTTCATGACAATTCTTTTAAAAAATCACATGAATGCACACATGAAAAAATGCCTTATTTAAGTACAAAACAAAACCAACAGGCCTTAATCCCAATATATTTGGGGTCGGCTACAAGAACCAAGACATAAAAATCTACATTGGAACACAGACTCGAATCCTCCTCCAATCATTTCCATCAACCACCATCCCTTCAAGTTCTAATAATTTTATACCAATTGTTATTACCACCTCCACCATCTATTTTGGTCTCTCCTTCAATCTTCAACCCTTCGCCAGGTTAAAGTGCTACATCCTTCTAATAAGTGCACATTCTTGATCTGCATCCTATCACCTATGTGGCCAAACCACTGCAAAGTGCAATGTAAACAGTAAGTTCTTAGGATTTGCATCTCTGCCACAATTATGTTTACTATGTGCTGTTTCTTGTTAGTCTAACATTTTGTACCATTTAGCAAACATATCTGAAAGCCATCCTATAGATTGTCCCCTTCAAAGTCAAAGGTATATTGTGATCATACAAATATCTTGTTGCATTCCTCCATAGCTCCACTTAAGCAAACCCAGGCTTGATCTTATGTTTAACATCTCCATCCATCTGCCCATCTCTTCAAAAAATTGATCTTCAGAACTTAACATTCTACTAAATGTGTCAGTGTTTAATGATACCATCACCTTCTTTGATAACATTAACAACCCCACCATTAAACCAGCAGTCTAAAACCATACTTGCTTCATTTCATTCTTTATCTCTACCAACATGCCATAATTTGAGCACCAGTAACCTATGGTATTAGCTTTCTTGACCGCAAGGAAAAAATGGTTTATATATCTCCTAATCATAGCCTTTGTAGCTCTACTCATTACTTACCCAAAAAAGGTTCTACGATCCAAGATGCTAAATAGAAATCAAGGTTTTGGCTTTTCTTTCATTCCTTCCAACCATTAGCCTGGGAGAACCTTTTCCCATTTGACACAAGGCCGAGCTTCAGTGTGGCACATTGCTTCAAGGCAACAGGCTATTAACCCTTGTCCATTTATCACTACTCCCAGTATTGTTCAAATACAACTTTCAGAAAACAATATGCTAGTAAATAACATGCCTTAGCAAGTAACAATATCACAAGAAAACCAATTTGAATTGCAATTTAAGGCATAATATAAGAATCTGCAAGCATAAAGAAAAGAAACCAAGAAGACTTTACCTTGGAAAGTGGACCAATTGCAACCAGATCTTCAAGAGCCTCCACCTTGTATAGAGGTAATGAGCTGTAGAGCTCATCAACATCACTAAATTCATCAAAGTCGTCCTAAGAAATAATTGGAAAAATATGTAAAAGTGAAAACCCACATGAATGACCAACAAAGGGCATAAAAATAACACACTTACAAAAATAAAGTGTAAACAAATTAGGATAAATCGGAAGGTAACATTAGCACCCAAAAAAACAACTCTGGGGAAAAAATTAAACCTGATTACGTTCCACATAATCATCCAAGAAGTCTTTCACATCATTAACTTGCTCTGGACTCAATTCATCATTGTCCAATAGTCTTAAAATCAATTCTAACTTCATTATATGATCATTGTGTCGTGTAATTGATGTCTCCAAGTGTGTCTGAAGCAAAGAAAACAAGAAAAAAAAGGTTATACCAAAACAAAACATTGGACTTGCATTCATATTTTCTCTTTCAATTCTACCAGTCTAGGAGGTCTTGTCTTTCCTTTCTTCACAGACAGCCCCTCAATCTCAGCTTCAAAACTATCAATCTGGGATTCTAACTCTGAAACCTACTCAAGGAAAGAGTGTATTGTTACATAATAGCTCCAAGATATAACTGAGTTGGTGAATTTAAGTAATATAATAATTACTACAAAACACAAAATATACAAGGAAAGTTCAACAGTAGTGGAAGTTAAAAAAATGATATTTAGTTTATTCAGATAAAAAGGATAGAATGGAAAATATATTATGAGAATAAAAAAAAGTTGCACCATAATGGAGTTGAAGCCATTTTTTACACAGGCAAGAAAAAGGGGTAGAAAGGGTTAAATCCATACCACATTGTTCAGCCAATCCCTTGTCTCTGACTTAGCCTTCTCCTTCGGATCCTGCAATGAAATTGACACATCAAAAATAATTCAAATAGAGCGGACAATTTTAGGACCTCATACAACCAAAACTTTAATTCCATTCAGTGAGGAAGCTTTAAAGGTTTGGAGATTATTAAATAAGCTTGGTAAGTTGAAGAAAAGGAGAGTTTACAAAGAAAAAAGGGAAAAAAGACCATTTATGTCTATTAGTATGGTCAGCAGCAGGAGCCAACTTGATGTTTGACTAGGATGGTTGAATATCATAAAAGGAGAAAGGAGTTCCAAGTACTCAACTAGACTAATTGGAGGTCAATAGCTCAATTAGAACCTAAAAGGTACCAATCAAATTTTATGTTTAGTTCACTAACATATAAAATCTTGATATGAGAGCAACGGTATAAACATACAGCAGGTCCCATGTAGTGGGAAAAAGGCCTAGTTTGAACCATCATTGTCACTTATTCATAGGTAAATAGTTAAAAAAACCAAGGAGCTGTGCAGGAAGCTTACAGTTTTAGGTTGTTGGCCCAAGCCTTCTTTAGAGAATGCTTTTGTCTTAGTCTCCTTCTCACATATCTTAAACCTTTCCATTTCTCGTTCAATTTGCTTCCGAGCATCCACCAATGCCTGCTCATAAGAGGCACTAATCTATGTTGATAAACAACAGAAGCAAAAAGTAATAATATTCAGTTTCAAATCAATTAACACGAGTATATAATGAATGTAAGAATACAGTTTTGTTTATCACTGAAGGAAAAGGTGATACAACAACACCACATAAAGACTATGAGATTACAATAAGAAGGGAAATAAAAAATTACGCAAATTAGCTAATGAAACATGATAAATTAAATAACCAATGCAAACAAATCATTTAAAAGAACTTAAAACTAGTAACTAACTTTCTTATCCTTGATCTCGCTCGATTGAATCCATGTCTTGATCTGCTCCCTATACCTTTGCAGCTTCTTGATTTCCTTCTTCAAGTCAGCCTCAAATTTTTCCTTCTGGTTTGCGTTATCGGTATCATAAACCTAAACCATAAGATAAAAAGAAAAAACAACAATCAACCTTTCACATTCAATTTGCTCCACGGAAAACTAATTACTTGACAAAAATAAATTATTTACATTATTTAACACCTCTTTCTTCCTCTTTTATCAAGATAAATCTGAAAACAAATTGAATCATTAATAAAGAAAAAAATACAAACAAATTCAACATATTTCCAAAAACACTTCAAAAAGTAGCGAGACAATAGTTAATAAATGTTCGCTTCAATTTCATAGGAGCTACAGTTGACTGCCATTGTTTAGAGTCTACTTTCCTGCAATCTCTCGGGAGCCAAACAAAAAAAGAGAACAGAACAGAGAAAGTGACTTATTTGAAATGGTGAAATCTTAATGGTAAACCTTGTTCCAGATGCTATCAAACACATCGACACCTTCCTGGACTTTCTTGAGAACACGATCGATCTCTCCTTGTAGCTTGCGACTAGCTCCCATTTTTGGATCGGAGTGTTTTCAGGGCGATTTAAAGAGAATTTATCATACAGATGATAAAATTAAAAACCCTAGCTGACACTGATTGCTCCATCTTTTGTAGTGTAATTTTGCTTGACGTCAGTGCGATTTAATATCGTTTAGCTCTTTTAGGGCATTTATTTATTTCATTTGGATTGGACTCCATTTCACAATTCAATACGACACCGGATTAGTGGGTGGAAGTTTGAGGATGGAACAGACAAGTTCCCATCAGAACTCAGAAGACGGTAGTAGTTAAATCAGTTTAGCCTTTTCGGGAAAACTAAATCAGTGTTAGAAAAGGGGAAAAAAAAGGATAAAGTACATCAAGGTTATCGGATTATATTTAAATAATCATTTTTATTACTAAATTCTTGAAAGTTTAATATTTTGATTTGTTTTTCTTTCATTATCGATAGAATAAGATCTTTAATGGCTCATTCTAATACTTTATAAATTATTTAAAGTTTGTTGTTTGATTGATCTAACGATGACAAAGGTCAAGAGTGGAAGCTTTTGTGCTTGATCTGTATATTGCATCTCGGGTATGTTTTCATTGTCAACAATGCAGTTTTGACTACTTTTTCTTATCCTTTTATTGTGTTTTTCTTGTTGACAAAAAAATAAATAAATAAATTGAGTGTTTGATTGAATGAAAAAATTAAAAGTTTAGTTGATTTAAAAAAAATATTCCATTTATTTTAGGTTTAATATAAAAATAAATAATCAAGTTATGCTTCGAAAAACGTTTTAATGTTTAAAGAATTTTTCGTTAAAAATAAATGTATAATGTTTTATCAGCTATATTTTAAGTGCTCACCATTTATTTTTTTTTAATTTTTTTAATAAAAAAATATTATTTTTAATTCAAAAAATAAAAAAATTAATTTATTTACAAAAAACCCCATTTTTATAGAAATTATAAAAAAACCTTTAAAAACTAAAATCTTTCATTTCAACCACATTACCAATCGTCGTCGACCATCTCCGGTTACCAATGTCATCATTGAACGGTCACCCACCCATTGATCAATTTTTGTCCATATCGTGACAAAAAATCCCTAAATCTAAAACCTCAAAATCAATCACTAATTCTCAATTTCAATTTCCTAACCCAAACGGTCGCCGACCATCGTCATCGTCGTCGTCGTCTAACGGTTGGATTTTGATCAAAATAGCATGGTGGTCCGAATGGTGACGGTGGTGTGGCTTATGGATGTCGGAATTGGTCGTAATCGATAAAACACGACAACGGTGGCTTAAAAACGACGAACACTATTGTTTTTTTTTAAATATTTTTTTATTTTTTATTTTTGAAAAAATTCTCAAAATTACTAAAACATTATATATGTCACTTAATGTAGAATTTAACGGTTGTTAACTTTTGAAATATTATACATTTATTTCTAACGAAAAATTCTTTAGATACTAAAACGCTTTTCGAAGCATAGTTGTTGCGCTTATTTTTATATTAAGCCTTTGTTTTACATATTTTATCTCTAAATATGATGAAAAAAGATAATATATGAAACACTAATTTTTCAACATGCAATATTATTTTCAAATAAAATTTTACTCATCGATGCAAATTAACACATCTCAAACAAGAAGTATTCGAATACATAACTTACCAAGATAAAAAAAAATCTTAATGAACTTTTTAAGCGACTAAATTATACTTTTAAATTAACTTTTGGTGTGTAAATTTTTTTTTATTAAAAATAGGTGTATAATGTTTTCAACGTTATATTTTTAGGTGTCTAAATCGTAATGGTCGTTATCTGACATGTGTTACACATATAAAATTTCAAAAATATATATATTTAAAAAAATATATGCACTTTTAGGTTCTTAAACTATATCTCAAATTGACTTTTGGTGCCTAAAAGTTTTTCATAAAAAATAGGTGTAACGTTTTCTCTGTTACGCTTTTAGGTAGGGGTGAGAGTTCGATCAAGTTGAATCGAGTAAAAAAATTCGAATTATTCGAGTTGACGAGTCTTATTTCATAACTCGGAGCTGACTTGAAATTATTTCAAGTCGAGTCGAGTTTATAAAATTTGAGTCGAGTCAAATTTTTGAGTTTCTATTTAAATTTAATTACAAATATTTACAATATTATGACATTATTTAATTCCAATTTAAATGGTAATTTATAGTCATATACAATACATATATATTTTTTCGTATTTTCTTCATATGTGATTTACATATATCATACAAAATCGAGGGACTCAATTCAAACTTCGACTCAAATTTGAAAATTAATCTACTAATTACTAAAAATTTTGAGTTATTTGAGTTGCATTTTACAACTTGATTTGAATTTGAAATTTTTTCGAGTTAAGTTTATGAAATTACAACTCGATGTCGATTTGAGTCGAGTCGAAAATATCGATTTTTCGAGTCAAGTTGAGTTTTGTCCACCCTTACTTTTAGGTGTCTACTGTTACATTTTTTAATTTTTTTTATCTTTGTAATGATAAAATATTTTTTTTTAAAAAAACTAAAACCCTCTCCCGTGTCATCCCTCTCCCTATCATCCCCCACCTCCGACGAAGACAAATGGTCATCACCAGCTGGGTTTTATTCCGAGCATAACGAGGAACTCAATGGTGGCAGCCATGTAATGTACGACTAGTTGTAACTGTCGGACTAGTCGAAATCGAAGAAAAACTTAGAAAATGGACAATCCTTCATAGCGCTTTTTCACGACTATTTGTGTAGTTTCACAGTGGTGGGAAACTGAGTTTTGGTCGCTTCGGCAAGACGGTTCTGGAAGTGTCAACAATGATAGTTATGGACCGATGGTGGCTGATCGATAGTGGAATTTTGTTTTTTAATTATAATATTAAATTTTTTAAAATTTTATGTGTGACGTGTCAGAAAAGATCAAATTTAATGTTCATTACGGTTCAGATACTTAAAAGTATAACGTAAACACTTATTTTTAGTGAAAAATTATTTAGACGCCAAAAATCAATTTGAGGTATACTTTTAGCATGTAAAAGTGTATAAAACCTTAAAAACATAGACCGATATACACTTAAAAGTGTAATAGATAACATATTAAAAGTCAATTTAAGATATGATTTGGTCACCTAAAAATGTGTTAATCGATATAAAAACATTTGTGAACTGTTTTAACTTAAAAAAAACTCTCTTAAATGTTAGATGTTCAGATAGAAAAAACGAAAAAAAAACAAAACTGCATCGTGTTGCTGGCAATATCTATACTGGTTATGTAGTTGTTGGCTGTTGCAAGTTTTTCAATTACAAGATCGAATAGATTTTGGTCTGAACCTGAATTACAAGCAGCAGCATTTCTTCACCCTTGTTTTATCCAAATTCTATTGTAAATATCATCAACTTTGCCTTCTCCTTTTGAATTCACATGAAGCTTTAAGGTGACGTTTGGTTCGTTGGAATGTTTATGAGGAAATTAGAATCTGTAAAGGAATTTGAATCTAATTACATATTCTGTTTGATTGGCAGGAAATGGAATTGGAATCCAATTCCATATTTTGTTTGGTTCGCAGACATGTTAGATAAATTTGATTTCAGTAATGTTTAGATAAATTTGATTTCAGTAATGTAAAATGATAGAATTGCCTTTTTTTGCTTTATTTTAGTTTGTTTTACAACTTACATGTAGTAATATATTATAAAAAATTAAAAAATATTAAATTTTCATTTTATTGATTGATTATTTATTTCAATAAATTATAAAAATCATGTTAATAAACATCATAAGTTAAAATCATTGCAATCAAAATATGTTAATAAGTTATCAAAAGATAGAGCAATATTTCGATACATTCCAATCGGAGTATGTTAATTAGTTACAAAAAATATATAACAAAAACTATTTATATTCAATATATGAATTAGAAACCTGACCCGACACGACACAAAATAATAAAAAAATTATTTTTATTCAATAAAAATATTGATTTAATTGAAAAAATATATAGAGAGAGGGGTATTATTATAATTATTTCTAAATATATAAAGTAAAATTATATATTTTTTTCGGGTCGATCCGGGTTTTTCACCCTAAACCCGACCCCGACCCGAATATCACACTTAAAAAACCCGACCCGACCCGAATATCACACTTAAAAAAATCCGACCCGACTTGACCCGAATATCACACTTTAAAAACCCGAACCAACCCGAATATATGAATTAGAAATCCGACCCGAAATAATAAAAAAATATTTTTATTCAATAAAAACAGTAACTTAATTGAAAAAATGTATATATAGATGAGTATTATTGTAATTATTCCTAAATATATAAGGTAAAATTATATATATTTTCGGGTTGGGTATTTTTTACCTTAAACCCGAACTCGACCTGACCCGAATATCACACTTAAAAAAATCGATCGGACTTGACCAAAATAAAGTTTCACCCGACCTGACCCGAATATATGATTTAGAAACCCGACCCGAAATAATAAAAAAATATTTTTATTCAATATATGAATAAGTTACCAAAAAATTGATGATGGTAGTATGGTCAAATTTAAATTCCCTCCAACAAGGGAATTGAATCTCTCATTTGATGTAAAGTTGAAGCCATGAGGGATTCCAATTCCCTTGGAAAACTTGAACCAAACATGGTAAAGTGGTAGAATTAGATTCCAATTCTCCCCAATTCCAAGGGATTTCATCCAACCAAACGCCACCTAAGTACTTTCTCCAATGGAATTCGCATTTTGTCTCCCAAGAGTCACTTGACTTGAGCTTTCTCCGGCACCCGTCTGTAAGTACTTCCCTTGATCCTTGATCCTTGATCCTTGATCCGAAGCTGTAAATGTTGCTGCACCTCGAGCTCTTCGTGCAGACATCTCCGGACTTCGATTTGCATTTGCAGTGCTTCGCTGATTTGTAAACCTCTGGAGTCTGGATTGTTTTATGAACACCAAAATCAGTATATGAAGAACTATATGTATGATTGAAATGAAAAAAAAAAACTATGAAACGCAAGTGCTGTTATTACTTGTTTGTATGCAGTCCAACAGTTAAGTTATTCATTTGAATCCCATTTGCCTCGGACATTTGTTCTGCTGCAGCCATTGCCACCGCACCAATATCCATCGAGTTAAAAAGTT